CAAAATGGCACGGTCTCTATAAATAACCTGCTATTCTACGTGGATATTGTCCTGAGAGGACGCGGTCCATAGAATGGAGCTGGTATCAAAACATTTTATCAAAGGAAGCATATGTTTGTGAGTGTGCAGCAGCGCCGCGCCATGGCATTGTGCTGCCACACAAAGTCCACATGAAGACAAGTCCCAGCGAGACACCCGAGGCCCCGGGATTATTATTATTATTATGATCATGATCATGAGCTCATTTAGAAACTGATGTCTGTCAGCCACGCCCAAAAACACTCAGGTCAGGAGGCTGTGTTGACCCCAAGTACCAGAGCTTAGACTCCGCCTACAGGAGACAGACGTGAACCGCGGTTTACAGATGTTCATAGATCTGGGAGTTTAACAAATAAAATTCATTTGATAGATTTTTTTTTTTTTCGTTTGTTGGGGATCTGAGTGTTCGTATTGGCCACGCCCCCCCCCAGAGTCCAGCTCTGAGAAGTCCACTTCAGACATCAAAGAGCTGTTTCAAAGGTGAGTCTGGTACAGTTTTTGCCGGTTTCCTCATGTGTGAGCATCGGAATCAAAGGTTACGCTTTGATGACTTTGGTTGTGGCTCCTTGAATGTTTTCCTGAATCTCCAGCATCCAATAAACTACACAGGTCTCATATACACACACACACACACACACACACACACGTGCACAGGCGACCCTGCCAGGAAAACCAGCCCAAATCCTTACAGCGTTCTACTTCAAATAAATGTGGCCACAGGAAAGAAACAGCACAATCAGTGTTTATGGCAGAACTGTGGGGCTTATCTTCAAAGCTGCAGATCCTTTTGAGTTTGCATCAGGTCTCAGATGAGCTCAAAACACAGAAAAACAGCCAGGAACAAATGTCCACTCTCTGGACACACACACAAGAATAAAGATGAGGAGCCCGGCCCCAGACACGGTACACAACCAACAACAGCGTCACCACCAGGAATCAAACCTTCAGTCAGTGATAATAAATATCAACATTTCTTTGGTATCAGATCATTATCAGGCTAACATTTAACTTTTTAGCTGTATTATTTTACTGCTTTAACTAATATTTTTTATTACTTAATGTTTTTAAAAACAGAATTTTAAGCTAAAATAGGTCTGAATGAACCTCTTTGTTTTATTGTGATTATTTCTATATCATTAATATTTTTAATTCTTGGATGAATTTTAGCTAGCAACACTAGAGTTATTTATTTTGGCTAATATCCTACTGGCTAATTAATTTTTTTTTTTTGTAAATTTTTTTTTTGATTGGCTAGAATTATTTTTGTTCAGATTTAAACAATTTTTCATTTCATTCATATGTTTTTTTATTTTATTTATTTTTATTTACAATTTTGTTATTATTTGGCTAACTTTTATGTAACCCTAACTTTATCAAAGTGAAAGGTTTTTGTTTTTTTTTTTACGTCCCAGTGTTAGCTACCTTTAAGCCACGTAGCCTAAGCACATTTTTTTTGTAGACATGATGTCATTACACATCAAACAAAAGCTTTTGTTTTGCGGTAAACAGAGTGATTCAGACACAGTGCACTGAGATGGAACTTAATTACCGCCAACAGTTCCTCGGGTTCTGTTAACGTTATTGAATCTGGCTCCTGTCGGGATAAAAGTTTGGACAGCACTTCTTTAGCTAAAACAATTTGTCAGTCTGTTTTGGGCAGACCTTCTATCTGAGGGTTTCTGCTGCGATTAATCTAATGTCTGAGTCTAACCAGTTCACACTAATTAATTAAGCTGCTCCTGCGCCTGCTGCTGCTGCTGCTGCTGCTGCTGCTGCTGGAGGAGCTCAGCGGTTTGTTTGGGTTATCTGCTGCGCTGAGTGAGCCGTTTAGGACAGACACAGATCTGGAGGTGTCTCACAGGTCTGTGTCTAGTCCAGTTACTAATCATTAGAGCTAATTAGAGCCGGGCTCAGGCAGGACTGAGTCTTCAGTCTGCTGAAGGAGAGGAGAGAAGTGTGGCCACCAGGTGACGTTCACACCTCCTCGGACCTGGAGACCTGGAGACCTGGAGAAGTACAGTACAGTCCAGGAGCGTGGACATGAACAGGTCACAGGTCGACAGGTCGACAGGTCACAGGTCGACAGGTCGGCAGTAACAGTCCTGACTGATTGAACTGCTCTGATGAGAGTCTTATCAGCAGCTGCTGCAGTTCCTCATTTACAAAGAATGGAGGCGATGTGGGTGTTGTTG